GGTCTGTTTATAATGTAGTTATTAATCTACATATGGTTCATGTGAATACTTCAACATCAATATTCTTTTAAAATCCAACTTTTAATGGAGATTTTTATTCTCGGAACAACAAAGATATACAAACTAATCTTTTTAATTCATCTTCAACTTAGCTCACAACGCAAAGCAATAATTCATTCACCAGATGTCAAGAATTAACGAATTAGTAATGAATATCATATACCGGTATAAATATTATTATATAATATATTTTTATATTTAATTTTACCTGTGTACGTTACTTTATTGAAGGCCATTTTGTCCTAGGTTAAAGTTGTCTTTTTGACATTGAAGCATTTTTTTTATTTATATTATGTCAGATCAAACTTATTCGTTCAGTGTTTATTTAATTGTTTTTGTGTATTGTCTTTTTGATCGAGTTAAGCCATTTCAATTGATATTTTACTGTGTGTCTTTTTATGTTGTAATGTCTTACCACTGTTTCAGGTTAGGGTGAAGGTTGGCGCCTGTTAAAACGATTAAACCTGCTGAATTTTTATGCACCTGTCCTAAGTCAGGAGTTTATTGTTCAGTGGTTGTCTTTTTTTTTTTGGTGTGGTTCATACGTGTTTCTGGTTTCTCGCTTTTTATATAGAATAGACCGTTGGTTTTCCTGTTTTAATTGTTTTCCACTAGTCTTTTTGGGGCCCTTTATATCTTGCTGTTCGGTGTTGGCCAAGGTTCCGTGTTGAAGGCTTTGACCTATAACTGTTTACTTTTTACACATTGTGACTTGGATGGATAGTTGTCTCATTGGCACTAATACCACATCTTCTTATCTACATATAGGCAGTAAGCTGAAGTTATTTATGCAAGAATTTGTATTTAATAAACAAAACAAAAAAACAAAAAAACAATCAATGTTTGGCTCAAAACGAAAAATTGTCTGTATGTTGCACTAAGAACTGGATCTTCTATCACTGTATTAGATACCTAAACTACATAAGTGTCCTTAGAAAAAACAGTATATTGCTTTGTCTTCCAAGTGCTCCACGAAACCTCTTTTTTAAATTATTAAAATCAATTTTAACAGCAATCAAAGCCGGGCCTCAAAGTTATTGTAAAACTACCTGTTCTAGAGGTGGCGTGTGTCAAATGTTGATACTAAAAAATTCCAAAGATCTTTTAGAATACATACAATCTAAGACTCTTTCATCTTACAATAGTATTAATACATTTGACTTTTCTACACTTTACACAAGTATTCCCCATTCAAAACTAAAACAAATTGCAAGAGTTGGTCCTGCTTTGTTTCATAAAAAAGAATGGCCAACGTAGATATAAGTATCTTGTCTTAGGGAGGGATAAATCCTACTTTGTAAAAAAATACTCTGATTCAATCAATAAATTTTCTGAAACTGAAATTATCAAGATACTTGATTTCTTGATTGACAACATATTTGTTACGTTTGGAGGACGTGTTTTTCAAAAAAAAAATAATTGGCATTCTCATTGTCACAAACTGTGCCCTCTTCTTGCCAACTTGTTCCTTAATTCATATGAGGCTGACTTCATACAGAAACTTCTTAGAAAGAAAGATCAGAAGTTAGCAGTATCCTTTAACTTTACTTTCCGCTATATAGATGATGTTTACTGACTAAATAATTCAGAATTTGATGACTATGTTGAACGCATCTATCCCATCGAACTTGAGATAAAGGATACAACAGATGCAGTTTAGTCTGCCTGATATCTTGACTTACATAAGAAATTAATAGTAAGGGTCGGTTAAAACAAATCTTTACGACAAAAGAGATGACTTCAGCTTCCAAATTGTGAACTTTCCATTTCTATGTAGCAACATTCCAGCAGCGCCTGCATTTGAAATATATATCTCCCAGTTGATAAGATATTCCAAGACTTTATTTCCTATCATGATTTCCTTCATAGAGGGTTGCTGCTCACAAGGAAGCTATTTAACCAAGAGGTCCAAGTGGCGAAGATGAAATTATTCCTTTGTAAGTTTTACAGACGCCATCACGCCTTGGTTGACCGTTATCGAATATCCGTTTCACAGATGATAGCGGATATGTTCCTAATGTAACTACAATCCCGTTCCCTTTTTCCCGAATATGACCTATCGAACTAGAATTATTAACGGGTTTGTACAATCATGAGGAACACGACGGGTGCCACATGTTGAGCAGGATCTGTTTACCCTTAAGGAGTACCTGCTATCCCCCCAGTTTTCCCCAGATGCTCGTGTTGCTCAGTCTTTAGTTTTCTATGTTGTGCTTTTTGTACTATTTTTGTCTGTTTTAGCCATGGTGTTGTCAGTTTATTTTCGTAATGGTCTTCATAGTCTCACTCCGATAAGAGTAGATGATAGTCCAAAAGTTTTTTACTCTTATGTTTTTGTTTTTACCTGATCTGTTAATTGGCATAGGTATGTATACTACAATGTATTTTTACCTGTGTCGCCTATGAGGGAAGCAGGTCTGGTAACCTCATCACGTCGTCCGTCTAAACGAAAACCTAAGATCTTTCAACTTTCGCACCTTGGTGAAAATTGTGAATCAATATTTTTTTCTCGTGTTTCCCTGGGTTTCATTTTATCATTTAATACTATAAAGGTTTCATAGTTTTTGTAATCTGTAGTTCATCTCGTTTCCTTATTCACATAATAACACTATTCACACGTTTTATTTGGGGCCTGGATACCATCTGTGGCCATTAAAACTTTGAAAAAGAAGGGCAAACCTTTGACAACAGCTATAATAATTAGTTCAAAATTCAACAGACATTGCAAATTACATCGCGAGATAATAACGTGTACACAATGTTTTGTTTGAATAAGAACATGTCTTTGTTTAAATATCGAAAGAAGATAGTCCTGTTATAATTTCTAGCAATGGATAGATTTCCGAGAGAATCATTATCCCACTGTTTCTGCTTTGCAACTAAGACGACTTATGTCCTAACTTTCTTGAGTTTTCTGCTGATAAATTTGAACATTATTAAGAATTTAAAGTTCCAATTCGACAATTGTCTCAGGAAAAATTGCCTTTAGAAGATTTTGACTATAATTCTTTTAAAATTCCTTTTAGTCATGTAGGTCAAGAAGTTATGCATCCTGCACTTTCATGCGTTTGCAAATCCTGCGGAAGTGAGGCAGAGAGTCTTTAGTCCGTCGTTTAGGTATTTAGGTTCATTAACTTTGTTAAAGCTTCATGGGTTTTTATAAAACGTAAACAGACGCTTTTACGATCAAAAACGATATCCAGAAGAAAAGTTTGATTTTTTTTTTATGTTTCCGTTTTTTACTGATACCTTGACTTAATTGTTGGTATTATTTTTGCAGTTAACATTTAGATACAGTCTAAAGTTAAAGTTTCAAAAACATCAATAACTTTTAAACTTTCATGGAATTTTTACGATACTAGGCCAAATGCACTTCCTGAAGAAAGTATTCAGAGCAAAATCTCCCACAATTTTTTTTCCTAATTTTCCCCTCTGTTACTGCAAAATGGGCAAATATTTTGCAGTTTACATTTAGATACAGTTAGGAACAGTATTGGATTAAAGTTTATAAATAATCATTAACTTGGTAAACCTTCATAGAATTTTATGAGCTTGACAAGAAGTTTTTTATGATTAAGAGATGACATCCAAGCAAAATGACAGATAGAGGGTTACGAAATTGGACAGAAGCTTTATTATGATAAAGAGATAGCATATAAAGAAAAAATAGATTTGTTTTTTGGTTTTCAATATCTTTCTGATAAATTGACTAGGTTTTTAGAATTCAACATTGCATTTTTTAATGATCAGCAGCCATTTCAAGCGAGGCAAATGATTCTGTGGAGACCTTTACGATTTTTTGTTTGTTTCAAGTGTTCCGGATTGGTAAAAACAGAAACCGCTTTGGACGCATCAAATGTATTAAGTGATGTACTTATTTCTAGACGTTGAAAAAAAAAACATCAATTTATAAATGTCACGCGTCCAAAACGCTTTTCTGCAATTACCTACATCAGGAACGCTCGAAGCCGAGTATGTAAAAGTCGAAGATGTATTAGAAATACAACTGTTGCAGAGCTATATGATCAAAAAACACCTTAAATAGTAGCCATCTATGCTCAACTTTACCTCAGGCTCAGAGAGGTGGAACCTCATTTTCTTATAAACAAACAATTTCAGAAAGGTTCATTATGAATCCTGTCATTACCGAAGTACTGAACTGATACCCTCGGTGATTGATAGTCTAGCAGCAGCGGAATCGACAAAGTGCTGTTAAAAAATGAAAAAAAAATACACTTTATAAATGTCATGCATCCGAAAGGCTTTTCTTGACTTACTTTCATCAGGAATGCTGAAAGCCGAATATTTGAAAGCCAATGATGTATAAGAACAGACACAGTTGACGAGTAATACAATGTTTGACAAAAAAAAACAGTAGTAACCAAATCCATCTACGGTCAACTTTGCCTGAAGAAGTTGAAACCTTATTTTCTTACTAATTTATAAACGGTCAATTTAAGATTAATAAATGATTGACATTACCAAAATACTGACTAATTATCTGATGATACCTGCGGGGGATAATAGTCCACCAGCAGCATTATTGACCCAGTGCTATAAAACTGAAAACAACACTTTTTTTAATTTCGTGCGTCCGAAACACTTTTCTTGATTTACCTTCACCAGGAACACTCAAAGCCGAAAATTTTAAAGCTAAGGATACTGACTTGACATATTGTATAGACATAAATATCTATTGTTGAACGGGTGTTATCTTCTTTTAGCATAATTTGTTCTCTTAATGTCCTTTTGTATTTTGTTGTGGTTAGGTTTGTGTCTCATTGATGTATATCTCCTTTTATGTATCTGCATTTAAATGTCATTTAAATACATGTACAATGAACATATTAGTTTGATATGTATTTTGTCCTAATGACATACATTGTATAACCAAATACTTCACAATAAGTCTTTAAGGTATGAAAGAAGATAACAACATCTGCATTTAAAGTTTATTATATACATATATAAATTGATGTATTAACCTTCTCAAAGTTACTAAAGGTAAAAATGGGTAAATGGGACATCAGATAATCAATATAATAAAATAATTTCTTTTTTGATTTACGATTTAAATTTATGACGACATTTTATACGGCTTACAGATCGCAATAGAAATAAAAAATAATTGAATTAATCGGTTGTTGTTAATACTTTTATCTGTTGCCCAGTATTTCGTATTTCAGTATGTTATACACATGCACATGATACGAATAAGATACGTGTAAACAAATTATATATGACCAGAATGCTCGAATAATTCAATGTATCGAAAAAGTAAAAATAAAATGAGTGTTTTGAAGGATCAGAACAACGCACAAACGTCTGTTGAGCTGCTGTCCAAATAAGATGTCATTCTGTTCTGTACCATTTGACAGATGTGTGACGAAATAACATTCGTTTATTGAAAATATTGAGAGATAAAAACCAAAGTATTGACGAACGGATGGATGGACAAGGTATATACAATATAGCGCCGACGCCTGGAAAGGAGGTATAATAACAAAATTATATCATACTAAAGGAGAGAAAAGATACCAAGAGGGCAACGTGTTCTTTTGTTATAATCTAGTTGAATAATTATAATTGCAGATCCTGTTTAATTTATTCCGAACTTTCTAGAACTTGACATATTGTAAAGTCAGTTGTCTATGTGCACGGCGAATGTTGACCTCTATACATTGGCTTCTCCTTGAAAGCATATTTCATGTTTTTTAGTATTTCTGTGATGTAAAGATTTAGGTTGTAACGAATATTTTTCATAAAATATTGAGCATGGTAACAATGACTATAGAACTCCACATAAAGATATTACACATCAAAACATTTGAACCTCTGGATACTTCATCACCAGCCGATTCGCTTGTCGAAGGAGTTGTTTTTTCTGTTACCGTTGTTGCAGATTGAGAAGTGTCAGTCTTCCCAGGACTTGTACTTCTCAATGGAATAGTAACGGGCTCTGAGTTTTCGATCGTTGAAGGACTAGAAATTCCGGTTTCAGTTCCTACCAGGTCGAAATTGATTACTCCCTTACCGTCGCTTGGTCCAGTTACTGCAACACCACCATCTACATTAAAATAATTTGAAATTCGTTAGTCAGATAAAAAAAGTTATAATGGTTTTGTATTTCAAATGTAAACGTCAAAGAACATTGAATATGACTACTATGGCTGTCACACTGATTCTGAGAATCCAAATGAAAGTCGAAGTACTGGTACTTCCCTTTTCACCAGATGTGTCAGTTGTAGATAGGTCGAATCTTAATACTCCTTTTCCATTACTTTTCCCAGTTACTGCAACACCGCCATCTACAGTAAATGCAATGAGCTTCATTTATTTTTATGTATTAACTAATTTGTCTTAAAGCAGACTTGCATAACAATCTTAATTTTTTTTCTGTAACGAATGTATGCTTATTCGTCACTTTTCTTTGAAACATTCACTGGTAATGTATTATAATTTTGTTCTTCGAAATTAGATCCAGACTAAAAAAATATTAAATATTGCAAGGAAAAAGGAAATATATTTACGGTTTCGGATTTTCAATTATTTTTGGCTTCTAGTATCACTGAAGAGACATTAATTGTTGAGTTGCACATCTGGTGCAGCAAAATTTGTACTGTTATTGGTTTCTTTAAGTTAACTAAGTTTGTACATTTACTCGGTTCAGTTTGACTGTTGTTGTTATGTTGTAAAGGTTACTAATATTCAATGACTGTTTACCTCTAAGTGTTTTTGTGTAATGATGTCTTATAAATTCTTTTTTATTGGCCAATGGTTTGTTCTGTTTGATATTTGTTATCCCTAGTTGTGTTTTAACAAAAAGATTCGAACATGTACTAAATCATTAATTTTATTTTGTTATTTAAGTGTTGCTCATTATTAACCTTGTATGCACTGTTTTTATTGTTAGTTCAGAACGTTTCATTTTCAGTATTTTTTACGCTGGATAAAATTGTGTTCCAGAACAAACATACTGATATCATAAGAGGCAAGTATCTCTTAACTAGATAACTTCAAGGCACGGAAAATCATACAAGAGCACATCTCATCTGCCGCCTCATTTATTGAGCAGCCTAGCAAATTCTTCGAACAATGAAGACAAATAATATCAAAAAAAGTTTTGGCTTCAAATAAATTCAATAACAAGTTCGCCAGTATTGATGAATAATAAGTACCCATTGAAATACCGACTGTTTGTTAGCATACAAATCTGTCAAACTAAAAAAAATATGTTGTTGATAAAAAAAAGTCCATCATTTTCATTTCATATACGGGGCTTTTATAGTTTAAAAGTATGTTATTCTTCATAAAGTAAGTAAGTTTTTTGTGTCATAAAACAAGAATTCTGCATTTTTCCCATTTATACAGAACAAATAACTGTTTAATGAGAGCATGTAGACGATTTCTCTAGTGTATGGTCTTGAAAATGGCAGCCAATTTTTGTGTTTTTGATAAAATGCACAATTTCGATTTGTTTCAGCTATTAGTCGTACTTTTAATCAAATACCATATTTTGTTTTATGTAACCAAAATTTGCACTCTAATTTTTTTTTTATATAACGAATAAGTATTATAGATATTTTGTACTTTTAATCAAATACAAAATTTCTGTGTATGTGGACCAATTTTATTTTACATTATAACAAATAACAAACTTCCTTTTATGTAAGCCAACCCTGTGAATCAAAATAAATCATGATCGTATTTAAGATAACACAGAAAAATGAAAAATTTATAAAAACATAAAGTGTAAAACAACATCTTCAAAGCAACCTATTTTAAACACATCAAATCGTATTGTATTCGATATTTTACACAGAGAAACAAGTATAACAATGGACCAAATATATTAGTCCAGTTCGAATAAAGTACTAGATCCTACTAAAAAGTATTCGTCCATGAAAAAAAAGATCACTTGCTGTTGCAGTAGAAATACATTTATATATTACAAGTAAGATATTATACTTACTTGGGCATATTTTACACATATGTGGACAATCTGATGGGACATTACTAAAGGTTTCACAATACCTAGGAGGCCACTGTGTACCACAATGTCCTGGGTCTGTCTTAGTCGCACAGTTCACTATTAGGACAAAAATTTGTTACTTACATTATGTTTTACATCTTAAATACATAATCAATTTCTAAAGATACTAAGAGGTTAACTGATGTATTCGAACGGAAATAAAATTCCTCTATAAACATTTTACATGACGTTATTTGCATTACTATTATCAAATACTGTTTAAGTGTATAAAACAGACAGAACTATTTTTTTTTCAAGAAAACATCTGCTACAGGTTCTATTTTTACATAATGATATTCTACATTACCAGTCCCATGGTTAGTCTATGAAACAAGTGTAGCGATATCTGATTTAAGGACGAGAAGCTTTGGTCATAAGAATGTAAAGTTTTACTTTGCAAAGATGGACCAATAACATAACTTAACTTACAGGAACAATCTGGTCCACTATAACCACTCTTACAGTTACATGTACATGTTGATAAATCAAGGGCTCCACCATTTAAACAAACTTTATCGCAATCTACAATGTTCAGAAATGTATAAATGAATACTGTGGATTCATTTTTTTTCGTGGGTATTAATTTTCGTGGATTGAGGAAAACTGGCATTTTCGTGGATACTTGATTTCGTGGATTTCCTAATCTTTGCATACAAAGCCTACACAAAATTTGTAATTCGTTGAATATTTGAATTCGTGGTTCACCTGTAACTACGAAACCCACGAAAATGGGTATCCAACAAATAGTTATGAATCCACATTATATGGATTTTTAATCAAACCAAATTGTGGGCTGACGTTAGATTACATATAACTGAAGTAATGCAAACGGAAACTGAATAATTGACAAACGATATTTGGTAGTCAGGTAAAGGAGTAAGGCCAGCAATTCTAAAATGTTAATTTAAATCTTTAAACTAGATTTTACAAAAAAACACTTCTGATAACTGACAGATTTAGACAGTATTGATATCTTAAAAAATGAGAAAGTGTTTCAGTTGAAGGCAATATTTGCCATTAAATGCATTTCTATGACACATTATCTAACTATCATTAACAATCCAAACCTTACTGATTGGGTTCCATTAATATATCCTCCAGAACTAGAAATTAAAGAAACAACAGACACGGCTTCCTCTGCCTCTTTTAAGAATTATACCTCGAATTTGACATAAGCGGTCATCTTAGTACCAGAATCTTAGACAGACGAGACAATTTTAATTTTGAAATTATCAATTTCCCCCAACTTAGTAGCAATATACCAACTTCACCTGCATATGGAATATACATTTCCCAACTCATTCGGTTTTTTAAGAGCTTGCAGCTGCTACTCAGACTTTGTGAAACGTCACCAGTGTCTGAACAGAAAGTTGATAAATCAAGAGGTATGTCTCGTCCTTTTTCTAAAAAAAGTTCATCGGAAGATACCAAAGCTTGTTGATAAATATTCCGTATCAACTTCACAAATAATACACGATGGTCTTGAAGTATAGATTGTAGGTACAGACATTGTTTATCATCTTAATAACGTGTTATAGTATTCTTTTATTTGTCTTTGTAAATTATTACTTTTACTGTTTAGTCTATTTTTGGTAATATCCATTTGACCTACTCGGTACTTATACATCCCGTCATTGTGTTATTGTGCTGTGGTAAATTTTGTATTCTTGTCTTTCGTTTTTGCTAAAGTGCTTTGTCTATATGCCTATTTGTTTTTCTTTGTTGACATATTTGTTTGTTTTTATAAAGATTATAACACAATGTTGACTGATGTACCCCTATTTGTGACATTTTTACCTATTATTTCTGCTTGTTTTGTTCACACATCGTTGTCAATACTATGGAATTTTATGCGACTGTCATACAAGTGAGAGGTTTAGCTAGCTATAAAACCAGGTTTAATCCACCATTTTCTACATAAGAAAATGCATGTACCAAGTCAGGAGTATGACAGTTGTTATCCATTCGTATGATGTGTTTGAGCTTTTGATTTTGCCATTTGCTTAGGGACTTTCCGTTTAGAATTTTCCTCGGAATTCGGTATTTTTGTTATTTTACTATTTAGAACATATTGACTCAAACTTCGAACAAAACGAATTTACTATAAAATTTATGCATTTAGGCAAGATACATATTTCAACTTTAAATTGCCCATGGGTGGTGCTAATGTCATTTAAAACCAAATCTATCCACATTTTCGGACAAATTGTCGAATCAAGATAAATGTTATTAAGTGAACAATTACGACGTCGGAATTATATTAGTTTGTATTTTCCAGACATTTTTACATACTTTTTCATCGGATGATCATGATGATTAATATCAAAAAGTCTTGGAATTTTAGGGCCTATATTGACACTCAACTATAAGGTATAGACAAGTCAGTAACCTATAAACCAGTGATTGTCCTTAGTTGTTGCCTGTTATATTAGTTTTCGTTTATTGTTATAAATCATCATACCATGGCCTTTTATATACGCGGTATTGATTTGTAAATATAAAAGGTCATAACTGTGACCTATAACTGCTCACATCTTTGTTATTGACTCTTCATGAATAATTGTCTTATTGGGAATCAAACGATATCTCCTTATTTTGATAAAACATTTATGTTCTTGAAGACCGTCTGGTGACTTCTAGGTGACATTTAGGTGTTTTGTCTTTGGGTTGCTGTGGTATTTTAGTGTTGACTCAAAATAAAAGTTTCTTAAAGTCTTTCTACATGTCTTGAGCATTCTTCTTTACTTGTAAAAACAGAAGCATATAGTACATAGACCTCTGTGAACTGATTTGTTCAACGTATACATATATGTAGGTGACAAGTAGTCATAACAATTATAATATATTAAATGAAAAATATGAGGAAAATTTAAGTAACTATATATTCACTATGATATTCTTAATTTTGATAGGAAAGTTATATTAATCCATATACAACTCACCACATAACTTGTTGACACAATTTCCCGGACAATCTTGGCAGGGCGTTCCTTGTTTATATGGTTTACTTGTGTCTCCAATGTTACCACTATTTTATGAGATAATAAAATTGCGACCATAATATTCGTAAAGCAGATTTCTTATTGTGTATGTTTCTGTTTGAATTGGTTCATGTTCCAGCGGAAATCTAAGTTTCAATACCAATAAAATCTATTTTGTGTGTTTTCCCTTATATTTCATTTTTACAATCGGCACCGTCCGTTCATCTTTCCGTTTGCCCATCTATCCGAAAGACCTTGGTAGAAAACATTCGTCAAATTTTTCGTGGCCTCTATGGAAGGGAATGATTTTACATTTGGTTTGGAGCTTGATAATTTTGAGTTTTAGCGTTCAAGAAACTTTTACAGCAGCCGTGTAGCCACTTCCTGTTTGCAGTTTGTCTGAAATTTTACAACACTCACTGTATAGGAAAATTTCGTCAAACTTTTCTTGGCTTCTATAACAGGGAATTGTCTTATATTTGGTCTTGATCTTACTAATGTTGAGATGTAGCCTTTAAACATTTTTTTACATTAGCGGTGCAACCACTTTCTGTTTGCTGATAATTTGATATTTTACAACACTCAGTGTACAGGATATTTTCCTCAAACTTGTCTTGTCTTATACTGAAGGGAATCATCCTGTTATGCTTCAATATACATGTCACTTCAATCAATTACATGAAGCGATATAGTTCCATCCATGGTATTGGTATAGTTTCATATTAAACAAATGTGTATGCATCAGATGAAAGACTAAATGAATAATGAATCTCTTAATATTCTCAATAAAAACAAATCACAGCTAGGACAACAAGAACGGACAAAAAGTGCAACCTTATAGGGTTATTGGAAGGACAGAAAAATACAATCTATCCATAAATTTGGAAAGGAAAAAAAGGTGCAATTAACCGGACAAGCGGAAAAAATAGAAAAAAAAACAATCCATCCAGGCTTTCAGGAACAAAAAGGTGCAAAACCTTACCTGGCTATCGAAAAGTACAAAAAAACTAAAGGCTCACTTTGGTCTGTGTGCATATCAAACAAAGGACACTCCAAAATTGTAGACGAGAATAGACTTAATGACAAAAATCTCTATTTTGTTGATCTTGTATTTCTGATCTTTTAGTCTCTTTGATTTCTCTCTATCTTCTTTAGTTTTTGTTGAAAACACAAAAGGGGATTAAAAAAAAACTCATTTAAGGACAATCACTCCTATGAAGAGTGACAGTCTACTAACTATATCGGCAAAATTTAACTTTTTAATAGATCTTGCCTTGCTGATAATTTTTGTGATTAAAAGTGTTTATTTATCTATTATAATTTAAGGCATAACGGAAAAAAATGTTTCTCTCTAAATATCATAGTTTTCGTGACAATAGGCAAAAATGAAAAAAAAAAAGGTAAAATTTGTCATTTATCGGCAATAAATCCTATAAGTTTTGACGTATATGGACAATTGGTAGAGCTCATTATTCTGAAAGAGAGACGAAAGATACCAGAGGGACAGTCAAACTCACAGATCGAAAACAAACTGACAACGCCATGGCCAAAAATAAAAAGACAAACAGACAAATAATAGTACAGATGACACAACATAGAAAACTAAAGACTAAGCAACACGAACCCCACCAAAAACTGGCGGTGATATCAGGTGCTCCGGGAGGGTAAGCAGATCCTGCTCCACATGTGGCACCTGTCGTGTTGCTTATGTTATTACAAATCCTGTAAATAGTCTAATTCGGTAGGTCACATTCGTGAAAAGGGAAGTGTATTGTAGTTACGACATAAGGAACATATCCGATATCATCTGTGAAACAGTTATTCCATAACGGTCAACCAACTCGTGATGGCGTCCGTAAAGTTTACACAGGGATGATTTCAACTTCACCATTTGGACTATTTTGCCCCTTTCAGATTTTCTCTATTTATAACGGTTCAACAAATATGAGACAAAACTTGCATTTTACCCTCTATGTATTATTTTAAGCCATGTCGGCCATGTTGGTTGGTAGGTGGGGTCATCGGACACATTTTTAAACTATATACCCAAATAAAGATTGTGGCCAAGTTTGGTTAAAATTGCCTCAGTAGTTTCAGAAGAGAAGATTTTTGTAAAAGATTATAGAAATTAACAAAAAAATTATTATAAAATGCAATAACTCCTTAAGAGGTCAATTGGCCATTTTGGTCGTGTTGACTTTTTTGTAGATTTTACTTTGCTAAACATTATTGCTGTTTACACTTTATCTCAATCTATAATAATATTCAAGATAGTAACCAAAACACTGAAAAATTTCCTTAAAATTACCAATTTAGGAGCAGCAACCCAACTTCCGGTTGTCTGATTTGTCTGAAATTTCAGGGCAGTTAGATCTTAACCTGATGAACATTTTTACTCTTGTCAGATTTGCTCTAAATGCTTTTCAGAGATATAAGCCAAAAACTGTATTTTACCCCCATGTTCTATTTCTAGCCATGGCGTCCATCTTGATTAATGGGCAGGGTCATCGGATACATTTTTAAACCAGATACCCTAAGGATGATTTCGGCCAAGTTTGGTTTAATTTGACTCAGTAGTTTCAGAGGAGAAGATTTTTGTAAAAGATAACAAAAATTTACGAAAAATTGTGAATAATTGACTTGACAGGGCAATAACTCTTTATGGGGTCAATTGACAATTTTGGTCAGGTTGATCTATTTGCAGATCTTACTTTGCTAAACAATTTTGCTGTTTACAGTTTATCTTTATCTATTATAATATTCAAGATAATAACCAAAAACTGCAAAATTTCCTTAAAATTACCAATTCAGGGGCAGCAACCCAAGAACAGGTTGTCTGATGCGTCTGCAAATACCAGGGTAGATAGATCTTGACCTGATAAACAATTTTATCCCATGTCAGATTTGCATTTTACCCCACGTTCTATTTTTAGCCATGGTGGCCATCTTGGTTGATGGACGGGGTCATCGGATAGATATTTTAAACAAAATACCTTAAGGATAATTTAGGCCAAGTTTGGTTTAATTTGGCCCAGTAGTTTCAGAGGAGAAGATTTTTGTAAAAGTTAACGAACGACGACGACGGACGACGGACGCCAAGTGATGAAAAAAACTCACTTGGCTCTTTTGGGCCAGGTGAGCTAAACACTGATCTACCCAGCTCTGGAAAAAGAAAAGGAAACCTTACCGGCTGTCGAATAGGACAGAAAACGTACAATTTGTGCAGGCTTCCGGAAAGACACAAAAAATGCATTATAACCGGTCTAGACCATAGTATATTATACATGTTTATCCTTGCAGAAGGTAGAATGCATTTTATACGTTTACTATATAGTATCAATTTTCATACATACCCTGGTCCATAATTACACACATACAAATGAATGCGTGTTGTTGTACAGTGGGCATAACCACAACCTAGTTTAATAGAATCAGCCCAAACAACCTGTAAATTAACAAAGAGTAGGATAAAGCTTGATAAGCTTTTACATAATAATCCACCATTTTCTATATAAGGAAATGCCTGTACCAAGTCAGGAATTTGACAGTTGTTTTCCATTCGTTAGATGTGTTTGAGCTTTTGATTTTGCCATTTAATAAAGGACTTTCCGTTTTGAATTTTTCTTGGAATTCGGTATTTCTGTTATTTTACTTTTAAATAAAATTGAGAATGGAAATGGGGAATATGTCAAAAAGACAACAACCCGAAAAAAGAGCAAACAACAGCTGAAGGCCACAAATGGATCTTCAACGCAGCGAGAAAATCTCGCACCCGGAGGTGGTCCTCAGCTGGCCCCTAAATAAAATTGTGTACTAGTTCAGTGAAAATGGACGTCACCCTAAACTCCAAAACATATAAATGAACTAAAATTTAAAAACATACAAGACTAACAAAGGCCAGAGGCTCCTGACTTTGGACAGGCGCAAAAATGCGGCGGGGTTAAACATGTTTTGTGAGATCTCAACCCTCCCCCTATACCTCTAGCAAATATAGAATAAAGTAACACATAGCAATACGCACAATAAAACTCAGTTTAAAAGAAGTCCGAGTCCGATGTCAGAATAGGTAACAAAAGAAACTAAGCAAAATAACAATGATACATAAATGAACAAAGGACTACTAGCAGTTACTGACATGCCAGCTCCAGACCTCAATTAAACCGATTGAAAGATTATAACTTCATCATATGAAAATCAAGTACAATCCCTCCCGTTAGGGGTTTAGTATCATACCATCATAAAATATATGGGAAGAACATAATCCGTATCGTGCCAACAACTGGTTTTAGAATACATGTGTTTATTTTCGATGCAAAGACCCTATGAGTGAATCAATATTAATACCAACATATGCAATCCTTAATACTTGACAACAGTATCGTAACTATATCCTTTCCGAATAAGTCTGTTTAAGGTTTGGTAAGCTTTTGAGGTGAATGCCGACATCTTTGTGCTTTGTAAAGAATATTACCACAATTTTAAAGTACGTTCTCTGCCAATAGTTTAGAAAGAGACATGTAGTATGAATCATAAGCTTTACATATTGTAAGATAGATAAAGGCAACAGTAGTATACCGCTGTTCAAAAGTCATTAATCGATTTGGAGAAAACAAATCTGGGTTACAAACTAAAACCGAGGGAAACGTATCAACTATATGAGGAAAACAACGGAACAACAAAAACACTAAACTGCAACAAAAACACTGAACTGCAACAAAAACACTGAACTGCAACAAAACAAACGCCAACATACATAGAAACGGACTATTTGATAACAACTGCCATATTCCTGCCTTGGTACAGGACATTTTAAGAAAATTTGGTGGGTTGAACCTGATTTTATGGCTAAAGTGACGTATTTTGTGTGACGCATATATAATCTTCAAATTTATACCATTATGTGGAACGAGATCCAAAACATTCACAATTATTTTTACAATACTAGTCAAAATAATTATCATGATTATGACAGTCTTGAAAGGCTATTTTAAATAATGCTGTGACGACGTCATAATTATTTGGACTAACACAATACTTTATCCATGGAAAATAACTCGACTATACTGACAAATAAGACATATGTGAAATGTACCGAAAATACAGAATTCAAACCGCAAACGATAAGACATAACACAATATCAAACAAGACTTACAAAAGAAACATCATGACTAAATACATGCAATTCGGATGTATAAATACCGAGACACGTCGTTTAGCAATGATAATTTACACTAGGCAAAACAATCATTTTCGGTAATAGGTCACGTTCGGTACTAAGCAGACAGACGACGTAGATGATAAACCACACTCTAAGACGTGGTAAAAATGTCGTTAGTTAGTTGAGACACGGACACATCGAATACTTCAACCAATTCGTCATGGTGTCCATAAAATTTACGGATTGTCATTTTTAATCTTCCCTTCTCATAACTCTGTTAGAGCAGTTTGTGCGTAAGTAGCGCACTCCTGTATATAAAATCCGTATAGTGTGAACATGCTCGAACATTACGTATCAATTGAGATATGTAAACACCATACGACGGAGCAGAGGGTATGTTACTGAACAAATTTGGTTGATTAATTGAACAAGAGAATTGTCAAAACAGGTTACATTGATATTCATAAATATTTTTATTCTCGAATACAAATTCGTTCACACAGTTAGAAGAAAAAGAGGGGGAAAAACCAAGGTGGCAATAAAAACCATAAATCTTTGAAAAAAACAGACAACACCATGACCAAACATAAATACGACGAAAATACAAAGAAAAGCCCACAAAACAAAAGATTGAGTAACACGAATCCAGGTGCTCCGGAAGGGGCCAGTAGATTCTCCTGGACAGGCGATACTTGAGTGCTACTCATCTGAAAATACTTTGATAAGTTATACATGTATTAATATTAGATTGATAAATGTATCTGTCTTAACATTTAGCTGCACCCGATTCATAAACTTTATGTATGTGTAAATTATCTAAACTTAAAACTTTATCAAATATTTAAATTTAAATTTCAAAGCCAATGGTTAGACAAGACTGTTACCAGTAAAGGCAACGAAGACACCTTAAATATAACAGCACACAATACAACATGATAAACTACAGCATACGCATCACAGTTAAAATACACTAGAATTGAGCTCAGATGATCCAAGAGGATAAACAGATCCTTCTCATCATTTGTAGAAATTATTCTTATGTGAAATCCAGTTACTTTGACTCAAAGGATAACAACCATAATGAATATGAATTTGTTTACATGTTGTATATTTCAAAGAGGTTTTGATAAATAACACAAATTGAACTTTCTTTCACGGGGTAAAAGTCTGATAGTTGATGAAACCTGGTGAAATTTGAATATCATGAGTGCTAGCTTGAACGATTTGCAAATAATTTTACGTATATTCATAGTATGACATTCAATGCTAGACATTCCAGTTGAAGGCTATTTGCTTAATGTTTTGTAAAATTTGTAATCGAAGGACATTCATTAACAAATGTAAATAATCTGTACTTAAACGACAATAGATACCTTTACATTTTTGTTTGGTTAAAATGTTGTTATATATATATATTATTTTGGATAACAAATAAGATGGGAAGTGGTGTATTAATTCATATCACAATATCCAAACATGCTCTTTACAAAAGCTTAAACAAAAAGACAGGGCTTTAATCATCATCTCAAAGAAACAGTCAACATTCAACACTGTGCAAAAACCATATCTCAGTACAAGTTCAAGACGACCTCTATCACCAGTTTGGATAGAATTTAATGCTTGATGTTGATAACACTTCACCTGTAAATACTTTCATGGGAAAAGAAATCTCATAAGCACTGCGAAATTTTACCCGACAATCTTATTGTAAAATACAGAAACAATACAAACATCCAGACAACCATTTGGCTCATTCTTAAGATACCTTACGGGGAATAATGTATAAAAAAAGACAGCCTAACAATTTGTATGATTGAAAACAGGTAACAATGTTGATGAATGTCCAGTCCGATTTGACATGGATTTTATATGATAAACTTGCAACCTCAAAGTACAATTATAAAGCTGTGTTGAAAAGAACTAAAGATTTGAAAATAGCCTTACTTTAAAGTTAGTTCGAGGGAAACGGTTCCGAACTCTTTTGGATCGAATTACAAAGAGTTTAGGATTCTGCCCTTCACTAAAATGTGAACCATGAAATAAAATATAAAATACCTGTGTATAATGTCCAACTTCACTGAAAACATTTTGACCATTGAATGTAAAATCGCTGATCTCATCATACCATCTTTGTATAGCTTCACTCCAGGCATACTTTCCGGATCCCCAGAAAAGATTCTGACCAAGTCCAAACCTCCCTGTAGAAATAATAGATGTATATAAATTGTAGTGAAGTATAATTGGTTCTATGGACCATTGTCTGCTAACAGTTCTTTTTTCTTGTCGGACAGCTGTCTATTGGACTAATATCACTATTAATTGCATGAAAAATCTGGCGAACATTTTGTACATACTGATGGAATGTTGGTGGTGTATTTGTTGTATATGGCTACAACTGACGATTAACCTTAGACTCATTGCAGTTGTCCATGTTCAGTTAGGCCAAGTATATTTAAGCACATAGGTCCGTGTTGAACGCAAGTACATTTGATTCAATTACATGCCCTCCATTTTGTTTCAGTACGTTCTTGTGGTTATGTTATATATTTTGTAGGAATATATTATCAATGTGTCTGTCTGTCAGTTTGCAATATTTGAATTTAAAAGTCCAGATGATATAATTGCACTCTATAGAGGCGAAACACTAATTAGTAATACATGTACCTGGAATGGACCGTTTAAGACCGGGAGACTCATGTGCTGTCGCACAATTTTCTGCCCATTTTTGAGCTATGTAGGCAGTTTCGTCATCCCAGCTCTACAAACAAAAATTTTATGCGATTATGTATTTCTAATCTTGTTATTAAACATCTGTTGGGGGTAATATTTTATTTTGTATTCGTTTGACTAAACAGGTATCAGGTTTTAACAATTATTTTGTGTTCGTATGACTAAGAATTTACTTGGTGTATCAAGTATTTTGTATTCGTTTGACTGAGCACAAAACAACATATAAGAAAAAAAAAGAAAACAACACGTTATAAATTTCATGCGTTCGAAGCGCATTTCGGGATGTACCTTCATCAGGAACGCTCAATGCCAAATATTTGAAAATGAACCGAATCAGTTGGAGAGCTATACGACCAAAAAGGACATAAAAATAGCCAAATCCATCTAAGGTCAATTTTGCCTGAGGGAGTTGAAACCTTAGATTCTACATAATTTAATAAGGTGTTATTCGATTGCATTCGGACACATTGGCAGCTACGTGGAAGGAAATTTGGTCAAACTTTGTTTTGGTGGTCGGTGTCAAATGGTCATTGTTAAGTATTTAGTTCCATTTCATAAGTAGCAGGCGCTCCATTTTAACATGATATTTTATCCGAAAACATTTTAGATTATGTTTTAAATGTAGTAATCGTCGTTATATAATGATAAGTAAGACAAAGTAATTACTAGTACATGAACCGATGAAATCATTTTGTGTTCGTATGACCAAACATTTATTGAGTGTAATATTTATTTGGCGTTTGTATGACTTAGCATAAAACAATAAACGTATACTAGGTTGTGTTACTTACTGGTTGGTGGTTATACAAATTAAACCCACCGGTTGCAATGCATTTCGAAACATTGGCATGTACATGAAAGGAGTTTGACCTTAATTTACTTTGGCGGCGTCAAAGGGTTATTTTTTAGCATTAAGTAACATTTCATAAGAAGCAGGTGCTCCATTTAAACCTGATGCTATTTTATCAAAAAGGATTCTAGGTTCTGTTTGAAATGCAGCAACCTTCGCTATGATAAATCACATTAAGGGGAAAAAGAAAGAAAAACAATGAAAATCTTCATACGCTATGTATAGAAGTCTATACACTGATCAAACTCATGATTGGGGTCACGTATTTTATGTTATGACTTTTACAGTTGAGAACCGTATTTTTGAGAGTGTTTTGTCATTTTTTATTTACCATTTTCATCATATTTGTAGCTTGAGTGAGAGATCGTAAGGTATTGTGTTTATTTACTATTTCTGTCTTCTCATCTGCGGTAACACCTACAATCAAGAAATGAACGGTTTTATTGTAGGGGAAAACTAAATAATTATTTATTGTAAAACACAATATTACACAGACATGAAAAGTGGAAGGTTTTTAATTTCAATTGAGATTACAGTTTCAATTTTCAGACAAAAAGCTTTTTTCATTTCATTGATGTCTGATCAAATGTTACGGTGGTGACTAGAACTCAGTATATTATTATATATATTATTATTATAGAAGACCCACTGGTGGCCTGGGGCTGTTTTCTGCTCTATGGTTGGGTTGTTGTCTCTTTGACACATTCCCCGTTTTCATTCTCATTTTTAGTTTTATTCTCTTCCATTGCTGCTTTATTGCACATGGTCTTGGATAAGCACGAGACTTTGAGCGTTCTGGTGAATTTCACTAGTATAGTCTGCGATTTTTTGTCATTGAAAGTTCCCTTGTGTTGCTTTTTTCTGTGCCTTTACATGTTCCCGCTGAAGTTCTCTAGTTCGATTTAGCTCTAGTCTGCAAGTGTTTCCGGTAATGGTTGTCTGGTTCGATTTAGCTTCAGTCTGCAATTGTTCCCGGATGTATATCTCTGAATTTGATATAGCTTAGACAAATGAATGATCTAATCCGAGGAAGTATCGCTGTTTTTTTTTTTTTGTTAAACATTAGCTTGTAAATGCGTTCCAAATTCTAATAATATTATTATACTTAGAACAAGGAGTGTTCAAAATGAAGTTATACACATGTTTTACTTAGCTTTTATCCTGTTTGCGTTGTAGGTATATTCAGAAAAATCACTATAAACGTAGTAACTTTAAGTTTAACCTAAAACTGTATGATAATTTTGAGCTGTATTCATCTCTCTCGCAATTGCATGTTTCGTGAAGAAAAAGCACTGCTTACAGAAATAAAACAGGATAAAGAACGAAATTGGAGATCGTTAAAAAAATTATAATATAACATATTCTTAACGTTGGAAAAATAGTGGCAGTCAAAATCATTAATCTGAACCAGGTTAGGTTCTCACCAGTGGTGTAAAATTAGTTATTGGAGACATATTGAAAATCCGGCAACAAAATGATTGATATTTGATATTCCTTTGATTTTTAATCGGTAATCAAGACTGCAGGTTACATCAGAATTATGTTTGTCTGTCTAGCCACAAAACCAGGTTTAACCCACCATTTTTTTCTTAAAATGTCCTGTACCAAGTCAGAAATATGGCCATTGTTATATTATAGTTCGTTTCTGTGTGTGTTATATTTTAATGTTGTGCTTCTGTTGTGTCGTAGTTCTCCTCTTATATTTGATGTGTTTCCCTCAGATTTAGTTTGTAACCCGGATTTGTTTATTTTCTCAATCGATTTATGAATTTCGAACAGCGTTATACTACTGTTGCCTTTATTTAAGTAAAATTGTCAAATATTTCAACACATGTTAGCAAGTTCCTCAAAGTAGTCCGTACTGATCTATGTGTTAATTTTTCATTTTAATATTGAGTCTATAGAATAGCCAGTAGGTTAAATAGGGGATAAAACGTAACTTTGAAATTATGCTGCCTTTTATTTTGATAAAACTTTAACTTAAGATGTACCTGCAGTGGTCAAATCAGCAGATGAGGACGCAGTCAAACATGCAGTATGTCCCGAATAAAATGTATATTTTTTTAGGGTATTCGACGATCCACAATTAACCTAAAACATACAAGACAAACGTATTCAAACGATATATCTATTAAACACAGCTTGATGATTGGACCATTTGTTTTAATGGCGTTTGAACCATTTGTCTCGATGACATTTGAACCAATCATTTTAATGGTGTTAAATATGACAATGTTTTTTTCAGAATTTTAAATTCTTTGTTTTGCTCTGTCTGTTGAATAACATATACATGAATTGTAAGTACATACTTGTTAGCAAGTTCTACATCCACGATCAGTAGTATGTGCTAAGAATAAACTTTCCTTTTTTTTTTTAATCATATTCCAATTAAAGCAGTGTTTTCAACGTAATCTTGTTTAGATTCACTGGTATATCTTTATGTTTAAATCTAATTTGATCGATATATTCAATGGCTAATGGATGCATTATATTACAGAAATTTATTTTACATTTAATGTCACTTGATATTCTTTTAAGTGATTTGCCTTATTTTATTCCTCTTGCTTACGTAAAAATGTTCCTATTTATATTTTTTTGGAAAATCATCCCTACATATGGTTATCAGCTAGCTCTACAATTCGTTAATACACAATTTGCAAGGCGATTGTTATTTAGTACAATAAATAAATAATCCAGAACCAGTTCCACCTATATTATACATGACCTAGTATTCATTTTTACATAACCCTCCTCCCCCTCCCGACACACATTCAAACTTTATGCTATTATAATAATAATATAATATAAGTACTTTATTTATATTTAAAGAGGGTAAAAGCAGTTAGTACAATACTAATCTCCCCTGATGCCCTCTGAATAATTCAAAATATAACAATATAATATATACATATACATAAATACAACTAACTATGCAAACACATGGTGAAAAAAAACCATACAGATTAAGTGTTACGTTTCATGAACATATTTCCTTAATGATATACAAGACAATACATATATTGATTTTTAGATAATAAATAAATTTCTGTGATAATTATTATTTCATTAGTCTTACATGTTGTATATGAATCTTATAATTAGCTCTTTTGTTCTAAAAACAAGAAATTATATTTATGATACCTTTGTTTGAACTGTCCAATCTTTTCTATCTTTTTAAATTCTACAGGAATACTGTACCAAATAACATTACCGGAATATTGAAATGTTTTTTTTTCATAAAAGTTGATCGTTGCCGTGGTATGAACAGACAATTCTTGTCTGATGAACGCAAAGAATATCTTGCATTGACATTTTGGTTATTCTTAAATAATTGACACAGATAACCAGGTAAAATACTATTTACACACTTATACAGTAATACTCCTTTGTGATATATAATTCGTTTTGGAAAGTAAACCATCCTAATTGTTTGAATAAAGTTTTTGACGGTGTATCATATGCTTTGTTGAGAATGATCCTCGCTGCCCTATTTTGTAATTTAAACATTTGAATTACTGGTTTCTGTCCATATAATAAGTTATATCTACTATAAATGAGTACATTATAAGTTCATACTTACACTTCTTTTACTTCTGTACAACGTATTGTTAAAGTCTTCATTCTCAATAAAGCTTTGACCTTAAAATGGAAATGAAGATAAATTGTGGTTATTGTTAGCGGCTTGTTCAGAAATAAGGAAGTCAATACCCAAAGTTCAATAAATACCAGATTGACAAGAAATTTGGCTAATTGTCTTAAATATTAAGCTAAGTTATTCATGCAAACATTCTCCGTTTCCATTTCTCAATTTTAAAGTTTTGTTTTTGATTAAACTGTTCATGTATCTTATATTTTATCAGTACTGTAATGTTATTTTCCCCTTCTTTGGTCCCCACCAAGCATACTAGTAGATCTACAGGTAGAGGAAGAAATAACTTAAATTAAATGTTTACTATTTCAATTTATTGATTATACATAACATCTTATACATTTGTTATTTTATATCTTTTCATGCGAATATGACCATGATACATGCAGTTTTGCCCTTCTTTTAGAGAATCTAGATTATATCTATCGAATGACACGTGGGTGGACACATTTGGTCCATACACGCAAACAAATATCTAGTGTTCAGACCTTAACACACAAGATTCAAACACACAAACTAATATCTACTATTTAGAACCACCCACATAAGATTCACATACGTAAACAAATACCTAATATCAGAAGTTATGAAGATCAGATTCTTTCACTTGTAATGTAACATTGTTCAAATTATGTTTTAATGATCTGTTTTAGGGATTACATGATATCTAAATAGACTTATAAAATTCAGCTATTTGTATTGTCCCATGTAATTTACATCTACTATTGATGTTAAAATTTTTGTTTAATTGATGTTTTGCATGATCATTTATATATATCACACTTTTAGTCAACATTGTTGTAATTAGTTTGACTCAGCAAAAAAATTAAATTCTTCGTCATCTTTCATTTTGTAAGCATAATACAATGAATTGTTATATTTATGATTGAATCTTGTCAATATTCATCAAACATTCAAAGTAAAGTCATAAATGAAATATGCTCTTCCAGTTAACTAGCTGCCAAATATTTATTTCGGCTGTCGATAGAGTTAAACGAGACATATCATACACGTCAATGAGACAGCATCCTAACAACAGAAATGAACCAATTGATACATAATCGGCTATTTTTTAGTTCCTTGTGGTTATATAGCTCTTCAACTGTTTAGGTTCTTATACATTCTTGGCTTCAAATACTCGGCTTTGAGCGTTCCTGGTGAAGGTAAATCCAGAAATGCGCTTCGGACGCATGAAATTTATAACGTATTGTTTTCATTTTTTAAAGTAAGCATATTGACCAAACTTCAATTCACACACGGGTTAGACAAATGTGAATAGAAGAAAGTAATTTTAAATACAATCGACACCAGATTACTTAATTAACTTTATAATCCAAATAAAAATAACACGAGAGAGAGAGAGAGAGATTTCAGTGCGCATGACTCATTTTAAGGATACCGTTTTGACAACCTTATTTGAAACTCAAAGACAACTTTATATTACCAGATGTAAGGGACACCATCCTAACACCATTGAAACACATAATAGAAGTTCTAATGATAATTATCCTTTACATAAATCTGTTGTTTAGAATTTGCATGACATTACTTACAAATAAGGAGTCATAATTTTCAAACATTTGTCAAATCATAATACAAGCCTATTATATACTATATATTCATTATGTCATAGTATAACGGTGGTCCTGCATGAAATCTATTTAAGACAAAAATGTTACCAGAAACTATTTATTAGGTTTATTTAATATGATGTTACATGGAAATAAAAAACTGTATACATACTTCATGTCACAAAGACATATTTTGGAAAGTATTTATAAGGTTATATATCTTTTGTGCTACAGTATAATTTTTTTACAAAGATATTGACGTTGGTAAACTATCATTATGGTTTGACTGTGTTTTATATCTAATTTTTCCAAAATTATGTGTAAAAGTGTAATTTCAGGGTCCTAATATGCCAATCACATCAAAGTAGATATCAGCTAACCTTTCTGCACTGCAGTGCCAATATTATATTCAATTAAATTCAAATCTTTATTGCCATTACACCATACATTTATAGCATGTGACACAACATAACAAAATGAAAATGAACAATATCAACAAGATCATTAATATACATAATAAAAGTAAATATTTCACAAGTCCCCCGTCCTCAATTCTATAGACTGTTTTAAAAGGATCCGAGCTTATTTACCTGAATGTGTGATCTTGGGTTGAATAAAAATGTATATGTAATTGTATCTATATCATTTAAATCTGTAAAGTGCATATTCTCATTTATCAAAAAATCAAAATAAACTTTTTTATTATTACTGTTACTATCACAATATGAAAAGAAATGAATTTCATCTTCAATTGTTTTAGTTAACCTTTCTTCACTGCTGCAGTATCTGATTATATCAACTTATCTTTCTGCTCTTCAAATGTCCAGAATATTTTTTTTTTTACTTTTACACATTAGCAAAATACCGAAAGTGTTAATTTTACGATTTCTGCCATTTAAGCGGTCCATTAATGGTTCTCGTCATACATATACCTCCGGCTTTAATGGAGTTAACAAGTTATTTAAGTTAGAAATGACTAAACAGTTTAATTATTGTATTCCATGAGTGTAATAAGGAAATAATTGAGAGAAAACACTTGATAATTTCCTTATCAATTCTTCTGATTTATATTAATCTTTTACCGTTGAAACAAATATAAAAGTGGATTATAATATACACTAATCTGATTTAGAATAACAAATATTTTACTCATTTCATAAACACCATTATGATAAGGGAAAAGACTTTAAAATTTTGGTGTGCCCGAATTATGTTGTCAAAGAAATATCCATATTACTACATTCTTTATCATCTTCAATACTAAACGAGGAGAGCTGTTTTGTATGTTACTTCGTCACTTCTCAAAGTATCTCATTAGATTAATCAGCTTTACGTGGTCTCCTGAAGCTAGCATGCACATTGTAGTGTCTGCTAGTGTCTGTTTTTTCTCAGTATTCATTATTAATTTGCATTGTATGAGGAGTAGTTTGAACTCGATTGTGATTTATGTAAGCACATTATCAAAAACATATACATGTGATAAAACCACATTGCCAAACTATCAAAAAGCTCCAAAAGATACATATATGCAATAATATTGGTTGAGTAACCAACCAAGAATTGCAAGCACACACGGCACAATGTTCTTAAATGGATTTAAAACTGGTCTAAGACTAGCAAAAATAGTTTACGACAAAAGACAAACGATATAAAACAAGTGAACTATAATATAAATATAAAGAGATGTGGTATGATTGCCAACGAGACAACTATCCACCAAAGTTCAAATAAAGTGGATGTATGCAATTATTGGCAACTGTACGGCCTTCATCAATGAAAAAAAAAACACATACCGTTTAGTCGGTACAATAGTTCACTTACTTCTTTTAGCAGTAATCATTACTACATGTACATAATAATATGAAAATGATGAGATGTGGTATGATTACCAATGAGACAACTATTTAAAATATAGTCCAAATAACATGGATATAAGCAATTATAGGTCACCGATAAAAAAGCAGCTTGAAAAGATTCTGACAAGAAAATGTGAAACTGTAAAAAAAAACTAACGGCCTAATGTATAACAATACAATTTACGAAAAACAAATATGGCAGACATGAGTCAACGACAACCACTGAATTACAGGCTCCTGAATTCAAACAGGCGCATAAAGAATATGGCGGGGTTACATATGTTTTTTAGCGCTCAACCCTCCCCTAACATGGGACAGTGGTGAAACATCACAACGTAAGAACTGTAAAAATCATTTGCAAATCACACAAAACTGACATTAAAACAATAGACAGAAATCACCGATATAAGATCAACGCAGCTCCTGAAAGATAGTTTAAATTTAATTACAACTTATGAATAAATGACGTTCTCCAAGACGAAAGTATCAATCAATACTCATCCAACAGATTTGGACGTCATTAACAAATGACCTTGTGCAATAAGTTGACAGTAATGGTGTTCGTTATTTTGTTGACAAAACTCTACAACTTTGTTTACTATTTTCAGTTTCGATATCGATACAGTTTCTGATTGACAAGAATTTAGAAAAAAAATCATAGTTTTTGCAATATGCATTGTTGGTATATTTTGGCAGTTTTCTTCTTTTTTTTTTGGTTGGAAATTCGACTTTTATCAATATAATATTCATTTTATGTAGATCATGTATCATAATTAATAAACGACATTAACATTTTAAGGTTTGTTAAATTTAAAAAGTAATGGACATATAAATTATTCATAATGTATAATATTTAAAGAACGGCGTTAACATTTTAAGGTCTGTTTACATATGTATAACTATAAGGATGAATTATTCATGTATATTACCTGTTTGATATTATAAATTATAAAATTGATAAATATAATGAACTCACTACTAAGTAAACCTCCGTATATCACAAACATGTAAATATAAAGATGTGACGGATACATTGTTGTCTACTGTATCTATTTTACACCGGGTAAATATGACAGCTGTACATGTGACATCCGCAATAATATCCGGGTCGTTACGGCGTTGTATTAACAATTGCTTTTTCAAACGAATTGTTTTAAAATAATAGAAGAAACGAATTTTTATTCAACTTTCTTGCATTTCTTATGTCATATTGTTCAGGTAGCAATACACAGTTAAAAGTTTAGTTTCGCATTATGGCCATGGTGAATTTTTTAAATATGAAAGTTTTTGTACAATAAAATTGATTTTTAGATAGTTGAAGAATAATATAGCCTTCCAAGTGGGTTTATATGATCATTTAGATTGTTTTTAGCATGTTTTATAGGCCATTTTTCTGTTTGACAGTCCGTATTTTCCTATCCGCACCGCCCTAGATCTAGAAATCATTGTAGTGTTTTTCAAGAAAGATTTGTTGCTCGATCTTTTCAATTCAATTTTATGGAAAAACAAGCAGAAATGCATATGATTTTTTTTGGACCTCTTGATAGAAATAGGTCTATGGTTTCAGGAAAGGTATCACTCTAATTGATTGAAATTTTCCTTTGGACCAAATTTTTGAGACTTTTGTAACATGTTCACCCCCTTCTTTGCAATATTTTGTATCAAATAAATGCAGATTGTTGCCATGGTCACACCAAACAGAGATTATATATCACCTTTTTAACTATTAAAAATGAAATCTATGGAAGATGCTCTTTCCAGAAATATACACATGCATATCACAAATAGTAAGCCTCATTTATTAGATAGGAAGGAAAAGAGGGTGGTTAAAAATTATGAGTGTCAATTTTAAGATTTTTTCCTAACTGTGTATTGCTACCTCAACAAAAGAATACCAAATTCTGAAATTGAAAAGATAAAATACGGAAGCCATATGTACGTGTATATGAATAATATTTGTACCAATAGTATCAATAATAATTGCAATAAAACAGTTAAGTGAGTTTGTGTCATTTGATATTTCTGGGATTCAAAACTTAGAAGATTTTCGTTTTCTTTTTTTTTTTACTGTGATTTCTTTTTTTTCTTTTATTACATTATTTCATTTTCTGGTTAGATAAAGAAGTGTGGACACAGGTCCGTGTTGTATGGTGGGCCAATACGGAAACTGTTTCGTTATTGAAGTAATAGAATTGAAAATGTGTCAAAGAGACAACAACCAGACCAAAGAGCAGAAAACAGCAGAAGGCCACCAATGGGTCTTCAACACAGCGAGAAAATCTCGCACCCGGAGGCGGGCTTCAGCTGGCCCCTAAACAAAAAATGTGTACTAGTGTACTAATAAAAATGGACGTCACACTTAACTCCAAAACTTATAAATGAACTAAAATTAAAAAACATACAAGACTAACAAAGGCCAGAGGCTCCTAATAGTAATAGTACCCATACTGTTTGCAAAGTAAAACAACATTGCAATATTAGGTACTTTTATTTTTAGAAACATTGGAATATTACCATGACTGACGCGGTTGCGCAAATATGTTGCTTTGGTGTCTAATTGTCTGTCGTAGACACAAATTATGCCGCCTCCAATGTGAAATTCAAAGGTAAGTAAATAAATCAAAACTTTTGAGATATGAAATTTATGCAAGATAAGAATATTAAAAATAAATCAGCAAAGATGTTACTTTTGATACTTGAATTGAAATGAATAGATTTGATCCTGTTATTCTCAACCTATGTTTTCTGTTAAAAAAGTGATTCTATGCAATATAACGCACCAGTATGCATATTAGGTTACATAAAGTAAAGCTATAAGTATAAGTAATCTCCATGATCAAAAGATCGACACAGTATTCAATGTTTAGGTTAGACATTTTTAAACAAAGGAAATAAAATACTATCAAGCAGTAAGGCTGAAAGCAATAAATTGTTTTTAGGAAAATCAAAGGAGAGCTAGCCTCTAAAGTGTTGTTTTTGATAAATTTTAATTATGATAATATAAGCGATACCTTGATTGCACCAGATGCGCATTTCGACAAATGATGTCTCTTCAATTTCTCTTTAAAAGACTATAGTAGTTTAAGTTTTACAAATCATCATTATGTTTTTCATTTTGTACTTTCTATAGTTAAGATTGACATACAAGAAAATAAATGTTACACACAAAAACTTCAATTGTATGATTCAGTAGTAATTAACAGAGGAGGATCATTTAAGTTTGTCTGCCATACAGAAATAATGAGATTGTGAGTAGAAATTAAGAGGCTCACGATGGCTACCCGAATCATCAGCTAGTAATAGATGTATTGGTTGTTTGTGTTGGTTACTTAACAGTGGACAGATGTGAAAATTATCTAAACAGCACTGAGCCGTCAATAATAGTATAAAAGTATAACAAAAATATCGAGCTCAGAGCTTGCTGTTCGGTGTGAGCTAAGGCTCCGTGTTGAAGGCCGTACTTTGACCTATAATTGTTTACTTTTTACACATTGTGACTTGGATGGAGAGTTGTCGCATTGGCACTCATACCACATCTTCTTATTTATATTGACAATGACTTCAGCAAAAACGTTTGTGTAGTTAATAATATACTGACAAAGACGCCGACAAAAAAGTTTTTTGTCAAAATCAAAAGCTCAAACAAAGTAAAAACGAATGGAAAAAGCTGCCATTTTCCTGCCTTTGTACAGGTATTTCCTTATGTAGAAAATGTTGGATCAAACCTGGTTTTATAGCTATCTAAACCTCTCACTTGCAAGATGCCGCTGTTGTTTCCGATAATTATACCCTTTCAAAGTTTCAAAGGTCAAAATTTTAGTACAAAAATGTACTTCGAGCAGAAATTATAAAATTAAAGTACTGAGCATGCTAATAGTAAGCCTGATGCACAGAATAAGACTCAATCTAGTTATACTGTCTTGTCCAAAATCTGATTCTTTTGAGAAGAAATCACTGACTTGTGCATATTGTAAAAAATGGTCATGTGATGGCTGATTGTTTAGACTCTAGAAAAAGAATAAAAGCGATTTCAAACCAAAGTACAGTGTGTGTACGACACCCCTTGTCACTAATAAGTTAGAATGTCCTACGAGTCAGGCTTTTAAGTCCAGTTTTTGTGATTATATGAAGGATTTTAAACCCTTAACGTCTGATGGGTTTGTTTCTATTTTTAATGATACAACTCCTCAGCCCATTAAGATTTTACGGGACACTGGAACTTTCCAGACTTTGTTGTTATAAGGTGTGTTGCCTTTATCCGAGTAGATTTCTGTTGGTGTCTCCGTTTTGTTACAGGGTGTGGAGTTAGGTTGTATTAATGTTCCCCTTCACCGTATTCATTTGAAATCAGATTTAATTACTGGACCAGTTGTTGTTGGTGTTCGTCATAATTTCCCTGTTGAGGGTGTTTCATTATTGCTAGGATTGATTGGTGATTGCTTTACGCCGCAGCAGCACAAAAAGGCTATATCGCGGCTATTTTTGCTAGGATATGATCTAGCTAGGATCAAAGTGGTTGCTGAACCAATTGTTACCAGTGAACCGGTGGTGGATGTTAAACCACCTGAAGATGATACTTATCTGTATCAAGCATGTGTTGTTACTAGGGCGATGGTAGGAAAACAACAAAATGAGGATTTACAAGAAGACCAGGATGATTATATGGATCTTTCTGACACTTTCATTGCCGACATTGAAGGTTCCTGTAGCTCAGAAAAGACCACACTAAAACCACCTAGTACTAACAAGCATGTAATGATGCCATGGCCTGACGTGAACAGCCATGAATTCGACAGAATAAAGTGTGGAAGAGCAAAATAAAGATCCTGAGGTTCTTCAGCTCCGCGAGAGGGTTCAATCACAGGAGAAAGCAGACAAAGTGGCCGAATTTTACTACCACCAAGACGGCATTTTAATGAGGAAATGGAGGTCCCCTGATGCTATCACAGAGGAGGAATGAAGAATGGTATACCAAGTGGTTGTACCTAAGGTTTATAGGTAAGAAATTATTGGTCTTGCCCATGACGCCCCCTTGGCAGGATATTTAGGTATTAGGAAGACTATCACATCCAGTTTGTGGGGTTTGTGTTGTTTAGTCTTTCGTTTTCTAGGAATATCAAGACACCTGATATTGTCAAAGCTCTTATCAAATTTTTCACGTTAGTAGGACTTCCTAAGTCTATACTGTCCGACCAGGGTTCAAATCTCATGCCAGGTTTATTTCAGCACGTCGTTTACCAGTTAGGGATTGCTCAGTATAGGCCAAGTGATTATCCAGAATCTATTGGTGCCTCAGAGCGTTTTCATCAAACATTGAAGAACATGATTAGAACGTTTTGTCTTCAATTTGACAGGGACTGGGTTTATGGTGTTCACTTTTTACTTTTTTCGGCCCGGGAGGCTGTTCAAGAACCCGTTGGTTTAAGCCCCTTTGAGTTGGTGTTTTGTCATACTGTAATGGGACCATTGCAATTGGTTAAGGAAAAATGGCTTACTGAACACACTTACTTGAATCTTCTAGACTATGTATCTAGATTTAAAGAAAAACTATATACTGCTTGTCAAGTTGCTCAGAAAAATTTAAAAACTTTTCAGAATCAGATGAAAATATGGTATGATAAAGAAGCCAAGGACAGAGATTTTGAGCCTGGTGATAAAGTACTTGTATTTTTGCCAGTCCTTGGACACCCTTTACAGGCTAAATACTGTGCTCCTTATACAATAGAGAGTAAAATCAATGATTTGAATTATATTGTAAAAACTCCAGGTCGGCGTAAACATAACAGAGTGTGTCACATTAATATGTTAAAACCATATTTTGAACGTGCTAATGAAGGTGAGAGCAAGCCAGTTGCCCCTTTAGCCATGGTAAAATTGGAGAACGATCATGACAAACCAGATATAATTGAACCACCTTTCGATTTTAAGACTATGGAACAAACAGTAAGATAGAAAAATTGAAAAATTTTGTCAAATTTAGACTCAAAACTTGCACATCTGACGAATTGAAAACTTTGGTATTTTCTTTCAAAAATCTTTTTCCAGATGTGCCAAACGAAACCACTGCTGTTTGTCATGGTGTTGATGTAGGCGATGCTTTTC